GGGATTTTCCTTTTCTTTCTTTTTCTTTCTCCCTGCGTCAACTTCATCTTGATTTCTCTGGGTTCTTGATTCTTCTTTTTTTCTTTATTGAAATATGTGGCAACTTCTTTGGGGATTGGCGTAGTCATGGTGCCACTCCGAAAGGCGATGACACTAACATTTTCTAATAGGTTCACATGGGTTTGAGATGGTAGTTTTCCTTGTGATTCCATACGTCCTATGCTCTAATCCAGATGACTCATTTACTTATCCAATTCCTAAAGATGTGCTTCAATTTGGTTTTGAAACTTCTCTTGATATAATGGTAACATTTTAATGATGGATTCTAGTAAAGGTTTTAACGGTTGGTACTGTTGTTGTTGGGGTGGCCTCGATTGATATGGTTATTGTTGAGTAGGTATTTGGTTATAAGAATAATTTAAGTTCAGATGGTCCCTCTACCATGGATTATAGGTATTTATGTTATGATTGTATGGTCTCTAGGGAGGTCCCGAAAAATTTCCAACTACATTGACTTGTGTGGTAGAGTGTTCTTTTCTGAAACGAGAGATTGAACAATATCAACTAATTTATCAATTTTATTTTCCAACGAAATTGTACTTATTTCATGAATCCATCAAGTAGGTTTGCTCATAGAGCCAAATTGTTGAGAGTTGGTAGACATAGTTGAAATCAAATTAGTGCCTACGTTTGGAGTCATTTTAATTAGCGCTCCTCCTCTAGATGAGTCAATCATCTTCATCTGTAAATTAAGTAACAATTCGTAAAAGTATTGAAGAAGTGTTTGCTCCGATAGTCAATGTTGTGGAAAGCATGCACAAAGTTTTTTGTATCGTTCCCAATAGTCATATAATGATTCTATATTTGTTTTTGTACTCCTAAGATTTTCATTCTTAATTCACTTTCTTTTGTTGCAGGGAAGAAGATATCAAGAAAAAGATTAGTCATATCAACCCATGTATTAAAATAATTAACAGGTAAATAAAACAACCAATTTTAGTCGAATTAACAAAGGAGAAAGGAAAAGCATGGAGTTTAATTTGATCCTCAGATACTCCCTATGGTTTCATGCAGAGCAAACCATGTAAAATTTAGTAAGATGCTTGTGAGGACTTTTGCTGGTTAGTCAATGGTAAGTAGGTAGAAGATGGATCAAGCATGTTTTCAACTAAAACTATGTCTTGTCATGAGGTAATGCAATGTATAACGATTGTTGTTCGATAATTATTGCCGCTAATTCTCAGATTGTCTGTTCAACCATTGGAAACAGTTTACAAAGTCATCTTTGGCGTTAGAGAATGTCTCATTGTCAAAGGATATTTTCAAATTAGGTTTTGATTGTTGATGTTCTTATTGTTATTGTCGCCTATCTCGTAGTGTACATGCACATAATCTTCGGGTTAATGCTTTGATCTCAGGTATCTAGTCTACTAGTTCACTCGAATCTTTCCTAGTCATAAATCAAAATAAACTTTAATTAGTAATTTTCATGTGTTCCTAGGAAATGATGACAAATTGTCAAATAAATAAACCATTTTTCATAGATAAATAAGCTATAAACACAAAATAGGGAAGAAAGGGTTCGATTCACAGGGATTCATAAATTTCTATCATTGATTTGAATTGATCTCTAACCAAGAAATCTGTAATGACAAAGAAGGGGATTTAATAAAGTAAATTAAATAAATTGAAAATAAATAAACAAGTAAAGAATGAAAGAATAATAAAAGATTGAAAGTAATTATGATAAGACATAGCCTCCAGCTTCGCTTTGTCTCAATCACAAAAATAGATTTTACTTAAGATTCTCGTTGATTATAGTCTACAAGGCCCTAACCTTGAAACTTGCTATTCTCTCTAATGAACTAATTTCCAGCAACGACTATCGATGTTAATTCCAATTATTCATTTAGTGTTGGGAAAGCCCGTGCTTAAATTATGGTGTCTCAATTATAATCGAACTCGATCATGATTTCCCATAGCGAACCATTGCTAAGTTTATTATTAGGGAATTGAATTTGCTACAAGACAACTCTAGGTGCCAATGGTATATCACAACTTTGATCAAACCCATGTGCACTCTTTGGATTCAAGGTGCCAAGATACTTGAAGGAAATGTTGATTGTTGATCCTAGATTATAGAAAATCAAGAAAAAAATCTGAAGGTGTAAAGCACTTTTTCAATTCTCATGAAACACATTGAGTCGTCGCTCAAATATTGGCCAAATAGAAGTTTAGCTAAGCATGATAGAAATCATACTTAGCATATAAAAGAAAGAAACAAAATAAAGAATATGAAGAAAAAATTCTTTATAAAAACTTCAAACCTAATTAATGTAACGCCCCATACTCAGTCAAGGAGTCCAAGCCGGATACCTAAACGTACATTATATTGCAATCGTGTTGGATGAATCAGGATTCACATTACACACATTTTACGGAAGGAACAAATTAAAAATTCTTAATATTACGTTTAAACTTTTAGGGGTATTTCATTCATTTCATATAATATAAAATATTAACAAGTCAAATCACCCAATTAAGGTTACCACATTTTAAACATTGTCAAAAGAAAGCAGCACACAAAAATTTCATACCAATTGGACGTCAGACAATCACTCAATATTAGGGACCTAAACATAAATATGCAAAAACTTATGTAACAATCAATAACATACAATTGAGGGTTCCATAATGTAATTAAGTGTGTTTAAGAAGTGATCACTCAAATCTCATCAAATTTCCAATTTAAGAGTTTAAGTAATTAAATAAACCACTTTATGGGTTAAATTGAACTCACATAATCATTCAGGGGTCAAATTAGAATTTAAGAATACTTTAGATCTTTAATGAATGTAATTCCACCTTTTTCCATCGAGAAAAATAGCGGAGGGATCGATCCTTTTTCACAGGGGATTCAACCTTTTGAAAAGGGATTGATTCTTTACAAAACAAAAACTTTGGGATTGATCATTTCTCCTAAGGGATCGATCATTTTTATGAAAACTGTAGATTTATCAAGAACATGCATATTTGGTCAACTAATCACCCACATAAAAGTAATCATGGACTAGGAACATGCTTAACACTACTCAACCACTTCATACATGTCAAAATAAAGGTATAACATGCTTTATAACATAAGTCAACACATTAATCAAGGATTTGACACCAAAAGTCAATAATTGCATAAAAGTTCATTTTAAGCACAAGTCACCTACTCATTTTGGGCATTTATGGTAATTTCATGCAACATAAGAGTCTAACACATTTAGATTACCAAGTTACACTTAACTAAACACTCCAAACACTTCTTTAAAGACTAAAACAATAATTGAGTAATCACATGCTTCAAGCAACAAGTTCATATTTATAAATCCAAATTCAAAAAATCAAACCAACATCAAATCCCAAAAATAAATCCACTTATTACAAATCAAAATCCAACATTTTAAGTCCAACAAAGTGAATAATAGGTCTAAGTCCGAAAAGTTCCCAAATTTCCACACAAAGTTTCTGAAAACCACATACATATAGCTTTATGCCTTAGCCTTGCTTGATCACACCGATACCAAGTTCCTCGCCTCCAAACTCGACTCTAATCCTCTGAAAAAGGTTAACAACGAGTGTCAACTTATAAACCCCAGTGAACAACTAACATTCAAAGCAATGCACATAACTAAGATAAAGATCAATCATATATGTTCATATGTTACTTGTTCTTTACTCTACACATATAATTCAACATATCATGCTTGAATGATCATCTAATGTTTTCCAAATCACTTGATTTTTAGATTAAACAAACATCAAGGATCATATAGTTCAAAAGCAATCACAAGCACACATGCACAATTACCTTCCTTGGCAAATCACACACATTTTTTCATTTTAAGATCAATGGCTTTTGTTCGAAACACAACTCACTCATTGGATAAATTGATTCCATACAACTCTCGTTTTGCTAACGAACTCATATAGGTCCAAAACCACGAATGTAGAGCAAACTCAACGCCCAACCTTACCCCGTATTTTCTTTGAGCAAAGCTTAACGTATCATCCAAACCCATATAATCCCGAATCACACACTAATACAAAACACATAGATTAGTCTTTCCTAGGTATGCCTTTTCAAATCCAAAGGTCCTATTAAGAGGAATAACCAATTAATCCAATTCACCAAGAGTGGTTGTCAATAATGCATAGTTTCTACGTAATGATTCAAATATATTTTGAAACACATTAACGGATGGTTGTCATGATCAGCCCACAATTTGGATAGTGAGAAAGTTCAGCTCATTTAATTCATATTCAATAGATATATATATATATATATATTTGCACAAACCATTTCCAAAATACTGTGCATCATTTGCAACACATCATATTCATAATTCACATTCTCATTTCCAACAATAGTGGCATCATATGTAAATCAACATAATTCATATTCCATTATTATAATTGACCAAATAACACAATAAATCGGAATTACAAATGCAACATTAAACAAACCTCAACCTTGAATCATTTTGATTTCCTAAGAATGAGAGTCACTCACTTTGCTGTCTGGAAACTGAAAACAATTCCAAGCACTACCTCAACATTCACCAAACTCAAAGCACCAAGTTTCCTCAGCTAACTACACAATAAGAACCTTGCAAAGCAATTTAACACATCAAAATCTAATCTAAAAAAAAGCAAAATCATTTGTTTCTAAAACATAGTGCAAACTTCAAAAACATCGAAACCTCACTCTGGTATCTCTAAACCGAAACACATGAATCTCCACATTAAAAGCTGATAAAAAACTATTGTAGTTAAAACTCAAAACTGTCCCTAATTAGAATAACTAAATAACTATAAAACTGAACTCTCATCGATTCTTTTATATCCCAAGTCGCCTTCTTAATATTGTGGTTATGCCATGACACTTTTACTAATAGAACAACCTTGTTCTGAAGAAGTTTCACATCCCTAGAAAAATTCTCAATAGGTCCTTACTCGTAAGAAAGATCAACCTCATTAGCAGAAACGACATGAGAATTATTTGACCTATATCTACACAACATCGACACATAAAACACGTTGTAAAAATGCTCGAGCTCAGGCGTCAACCTCAAACGATACATAACTAACCCAACATGCTCTAATACCTCAAACTGTCCTATAAACCTCGGACTAAGCTTACCCTTACACCCAAAATGTAATGCCTTCTTCCAAGGAGAAACCTTAAGAAACACCAAGTCATCGACAACGTACTCAACCTCTCGATGCTTTAAATCGACAAACGACTTTTGCGTATCAAAAATAGTCTTCAACCGATCCTTAATCAACATAACTTTATACTTAGTCTATTAAATCAATTCTGGACCAACAACACATTTCTCACTCAACTCAGTCCAAGACAAAGGAGTACATCACTTACGCCCGTACAATGTCTCAAAGGAGCCATCTGAATACTAGCCTGAAAATTATGCTACCAAGAACTAACAAAATCAATCACTCACGCCTGAAGCATATCATCGAAAACATATATCACACGCTCAGACTGCCCATCTATCAGCGGATGATAAGCCGTGCTCAAACTAAGCTTCGAACCCAAAACCTTATACAAAATTTATAAAAACCCCAACGTAAACCATAGATTACGATCCAAATTAAATCCCTCTTCGATGGTGTGAACAAAAAACCCACCAAAAAATCCATCATAATTCATTCCCACTTCCACTGAGGAATACTAATCTATTGCAATAAACCCAAAGGACACTGATTCTCGGCTTTAGCACGCTGCCAAACCAAATATCGTCTGAAAAACTCAACAACAACACTCTTCAACCCAGGCCACCAAAATAACTCATGCAAGCCTCGAAACATCTTCATTCTATCCGGATACATAGCAAGAATCCACTATGTACCTCCATGAGAATCTCACGCCTCAGACCCTCATCGATCGAAAAGAACAACCTACCTCAAAAACAAAAAAAACACCCTCTGAGTTCAATGAGAAATCACCTCCAACACTATCTCGCACTAGCTGAAACTTTTCTTCCAACTTCTCGTCACTTGGATGCAAATCACAAATACGTTGAGACCACATAGACTTAACTTGCAACTCATTTACTAACGCTCCATCCTCAGTCAAACTCAAACGAGCAAACAAAACACGTAATTCACCCATCAACTTATGACTCAAGGCATTTGCAACCACGTTAGCCTTACCCAAACTGTACTCAATCACACAATCATAGTCCTTCAACAACCCAACCCAACATATCTCCCTCAAGTTCAACTCATTCTTATTGAAGAGGTATTTGAGACTCTTGTTATCAGTGTAAAGAATACATTTCTCTCAAAACAAGTAGTCTCACCAAATCTTCAATAAAAACACTACTGCGACCAACTCTAAATCGTGCGTATGATAATTATGCTAATGTAGCTTCAACTAGCTTGATGCATAAGCAACTACTTTTCTGTCTTGCATTAGCAGGCACCCAAGACCCACAATCGACGCAAACCACAAAATCCCTTCCCAAAACTGGTTGAACCAACACCGGATCCTCTATCAAAGATGACTTTAACAACTCAAATTTGTTTTGCCTTTCACTCATCCACTCAAACTTAACATCCTTTTGAAAAAACTTAGTTAACGAAGTCGCTACCCGCGAAAAACCTTAAACAAACCGTCTGTAGTACCCCGCTAACCCAAGAAAACTACAAACCTCTCCAACACTCCTAGACGGCTTCCACTCAACTATCACCTTAACCTTACTACGATCAACCCAAATACCCTCAGCGAAAACAACAAGACCAAGAAACGCCACTTCACCTAACCAAAACTCGCCCTTATAAAACTTAGCATACAACTTATTTTCCCTCAAAACTTGTAAAACAACCCAGAGATGCGAATCATGATCCTCCTCAGAAGTTGAGTAAAATAAGATATAGTCAATGAATACCACTACAAAACAATCAAGATACGAGTGAAACACACGGTTCATCAAATCCATAAAAGCAACTAGAGCATTAGTTAAACCAAATGACATCATCAAGAAATCGTAACAACTATAACGCGTCTAAAAAGCTTTCCTCATCACATCTGGTTCACTGACCTTTAACTGATAGTAACCAGAACGCAAGTCGATCTTAGAAAACACCTTGACACCCTTAAATTGGCCAAACAAGTTATCGATCATTGGCAAAGGATACCAATTCATGATCTTCAACTTGTTCAACTGATGATAATCAACGTACATTCACATTGTACCATTCTTCTTCTTTACAAACAAAAATGGAGCACCCTATAGAGAAACACTCAGATAGATAAAACCTTGATCTAAAAACTCTTGTAATTATACTTTTAACTCCTTAGGTTCCATACAATAAGAAATAATAGACACAAGGGATAAATCAGAACAAGTGTCTATACGGAACTCAACCTCACCATCTAGTGGTAAACCCAAAAGCTCTTCTGGAAACATATTCGAAAAGTCTCGAACTATACGAATATCTTGCACATGCAACTCTCGACCACCTGGATTAAGTACGTAAGCCAAGTACTCCTCATAGCTACGAGCCAATATTTTACTTGCATTTAAAGCTTACACAATATTATATAGAAATTCTAAGTGTTTACTCACAACCACTAATTCAACATTATATTTCTTCTACAAAATTACTTGGTACAACTCCAAAATCCAAGTGCACACGATGTTCGCGTAGCCAATTGTACCCAGAATGACGTCAAAACCATAGAAAATAACTCCATGAAATCGGTTGGAAAAACCTTACCTTAAACAACCAAAAGATACGTACGATAAACATGATCCACAAATGCCCCCTTACCAAAAGCTCCAGTTACAACCAAACCAACACTCTTAACATAAACAGGAAGATTCAAACGACTAGCCAAACTACCAATGATATAAGAGTGTTTAGAACTAGAATCTATGAAGGTAAGCAAAAGAAAGTACTATAGCAGAAAAGTACCTATGATCACGTTTGTCAAAATACGATCCTGAGGCTCACGAATCGCATATACTCTAACAGGTCCACCAGTCTCAGCTACCTCAACATGACCATGACCTGTACTATGATCATGACCCATCGGACCACCTGTACCAAATCGACCACCTTTTCTGGAAGGAACATGTGCACCATATCAGACTCAACTCCTTGGATAATCTTGTAACTGATTACCCTTGTCGCTACAACAAAAGCAACATCTAGTAGTACACCAAAACTCGCTCGAATGACTCTTACCAAAAGACAAACAAAGTGGAAGCTATTGCCAACCTCCAAATGATCCAACCGCTCTACTAGACTAACCCTGACGATAATTCACACTAATCCGATCCTCGCTCTCTCTTACCCAAATGACTCTGAAAACTATCATCACCAAACCATTTTCTAGAGAACTCCCTGATTGGTCCATCTAAATTACTCTCAACATCCCTCACATGATCTACCATAACGTCAAACACATTTAAAGACCCGATAACCAAGTAGATGGGCATCTATTTCCTAAGACCATCTTTAAACCTCTTGCACCTTACATGCTCAGTCGGTGTAATCTATTGGGCATACTCACTCAGACGAATAAACTCAACCTTATACTCAGATACTAATGAATGACCCTAAACCAAATCAAGAAACCCTTTCTTCCCCTCGTCCGTATACTGTTTACAGAGAAACTTACGCGTAAAAACCTCAAGAAAGTACGACCACATCAGTCAATCCTCAATAGCACTCCTCTGAGTCATGATCCACTGACGATGAGTGTCACCCTAAAGTAAGAACGTAACATAACCCAACCTCTCAGCGTTAGTACAACACATATGATCCAAAACCTGTATAACACTCTCAAAAAATGCTTTGGTTCCTAAAGCCTTTAGGAGCTCTAGTGGCAACCCTTTTAGTAGCTGGTACCAGCACTGAAGCAGGAACCTCAATCAAAATAGATCAACGCAAAGCTCCCAGATGTACCTTAGTCAACACATCTATAGGAGGAGGATTCTGTTGTGGAACTACTAGTGGGTCCATTAGCACCACTCTCGACCTTGATCGTATTTGCGTGGTAGTAGGACAAATCAACCCCGGAGCTCCTAATATAGCATAACACTGTGGTGCTATTGCGCTAACTAGACACATACAAACCAACATCAGAGTGAGAAGCGCATCAGTGATCAAGACAAGACCTATAATAATATTTCAAAACTATGTGGCAATTTGGTTCCCGTTTCTTATCCCGATCTACAATAGCATAAACATCATTAATTAACACAATATTTACGTAACTTGGCTATGATACCAACAAATGTAATATCTCATACCCGATTCAGGAGTCTGAGTCGGATACTTGAAAGTATTTTAGGTATTGATTGTGTTGAACGGATCAAGATCCACATACACAAATTTTACAAAAACAACCAAATTAAAATTTCTTAAAATTCATCACACACAACGTTCAATATAACTAACATGCAATTGAATCTCAATTAAACATGCAAACATTATATTTAAACATTTAGGGGTATTTCAGTCATTTCACATCATAAAATAAATCGTCAAGTAATATCACCCAATTAAGGTTACCACATGTTAAACATTGACATAAGGAAGTAGCACGCAAAATTTCATACCAATAGGGCATAAGAAAATCACTCAATTGATCATACAAGATGAGGGACCTAAACGTAAATATGAAAAACTTATATATCAAACAGTAAAATACAATTAAGGTTCCATTATGTAATTAAGTTTATTTAAAAAGTGATCACTCAAATCTCATCAAATTTGCAATTTAAGAGTTTATGTAATTAAACAAATCAATTTTTGGGTTAAATTAAACTCACATAATCATTTAGGGGTTAAATTAGAATTTAAGAATACTTAGATCATTAATGAATGCAATTTCACCTTTTTCCATCGAGCAAAAAAATGAAGGGATCGACACTTTCTTGAGAGGGATCGATCCTTTTCAAATGGAATCGATTCTTTTTTAAACAGAAACTTTGGGATCGATCATTTCTCCTAAGGGATCGATCATTTTTCTAAAAAACTATAGATTTATCAAGAACATGCATATTTGGTCAACTAATCACCCACATAAAAGTAATCATGGACTAGGAACATGTTTGGACACTATTTAACCACTTCATACATGCCGAAACAAAGGTATATGATTCTTTATAACACAAGTCAATACTTTAATCAAGGATTTGACACCAAAAGTCAACAATTGCATAAAATTTCATTTCAAGCACAAGTCACCTACTCATTTTTGGTATTTAAGTTCGATTCTTGCAATCTAAGAGTCTAATATGTTTAATTTACCAAG